GTTACTTCCGAGGGGGGTGTGATCCTAAGACAGGAGAATCTACGTGGTGTAATGTTGCAATTACTTATGGTATGGAGCTGTCAACTCCACTGCTCGCGCAATCCTCCCACCCTCCCACCCGCAACTTGGTTGGCAAAGCCCCTGCGGCGGCACTTGCGATGACGTCTTCGCGCTGGCTGGCGCAACTCTGCGGCAGCGCTTGCGCGCGCAAGCTCGCGCGCAGAGCGCCCAGCTAGTTCGGCACAACCGACGCGGCCGCGGTGGCCCTGACCGGCGGGTACCCCCCAGCGCGTCTCACAGGCCACGTTGGAGCGCGGGCACTGCAGTGCGGGTCGGTGACTCGGTCGGGCGCGGTGTCATGGTGACGTCGCAACGGCGGAAACGATGATGATAGTAATGGTGCTGGTGACGATGGTGAAGGTGACGACGGCACGGCCACTGACGGCGTCGATGGTGGCCACGCCACTGACTAGGATGAGGTTCGCGTGCTGTTGATGAAGATTAGAAGGATTTCGACACGCACGCGCGGCCGACGCGCGCGAGTTGCCCGCATGGTATCATTTGACAGGGACCTTGTTCCCCCAGCAAGCGCGCCAGGGCGTCCGAGTGATTCCGACGCGCGCGCGAGAGGCCCACGTGTTCATTATACGAAAATGTGGAACAGCCGACTGTTGTTGTAAGAATTCGCAAATGTGCACACATTTTGGTTGCAATATAACGTTGAAGTACGACTGTTGGTTCTTAAGTGCTCGGGAACCTCGATATTGAGACAACGCGCGCGTGTGGACTGTGTCTAATGATTCGTTTGCAAGGGATGTTTGAACATTGTTTTTTGATAAAGCGAATGCGCGCGGATAGTATCGTTTGACAGGCATGATGGGGGGCAATATATGCGGCGCTGGCGCGGCGACGGGGCGGCGACGGCAACGACATTAGCCGCCAGACCGCCAGGCACACCCAGTTACGTAGAACACGAGTGAGAACCCTTATATGCAAGCACTGTTTGGGGAATGTATATCAATACGTATTAATCTATCCACCTCCACCGCATCCCGAGGTCCAAAAATATCGGTATCCCAGGCGGTGGATATCCACGTCCGACCTGTAGCGAAGCGTCGCGGCAGTCCGAAAGGACGGGTGTGTGGCGCAAGGGCCAAGTCACGATACGCCGACTGCAACACATTGTATTACTACCCTTTGCAAAGCAGTCCCCTAAACCTCCCCCCAAGACCGCCGCCGAGGTGCCCACCCATGTCTGGTCATTCCCCAAACAGCTTGCTGAACGGGGTGCTGTTGTGATAGAAGCTAACTCCGGCCGAGGGAAGTCGGAGCAGAGACATCCTCACAAAAATTTGATGGTCCGGGCCGTTTCGCTTGAGACATCCTCACAACTCTCGTTTCTGAGTTGGCCGGGATTGGCCGTTTCGCCTGAGACATCCTCGAAAAGCTGCGCTCCGGGACGCCGCGCGAGATGTGGTCCGGGCCGTTTCGCTTGAGACATCCTCGAAACTCTGAGCCCCGAGGTGCCGTGCGCGAGGTGGTCCGGGCCGTTTCGCCTGAGACATCCTCGAAATTCTGAGCTCTGAGATGCCTTGCACGAGGTGGTCCGGCCCGTTTCGCCTGAGACATCCTCGAAATTCTAACCTCTGAGATGCCGTGCGCGAGGTGGTCCGGCCCGTCTCGCCTGAGACATCCTCGAACTTCTGAGCTCTGAGATGCCCTGCGCGAGGTGGTCCGGCCCGTTTCGCACAAGACATTCTCGCAACTCTGAGCTCTGAGATGCCGTGCGCAAGGTGGTCCGGCTTGTTTCGCACAAGACATTCTCACAACTCTGAGCTACCAGATGCCGCGCAAGAGGTGGTCCAGCCTGGGGGCCCAGAAGACCACATGATACATATCCTCCCTGGGACCCTGGGAGCCCGCCTGAGACATCCTCGAACTTCTGAGCTCTGAGATGCCCTGCGCGAGGTGGTCCGGCCCGTTTCGCACAAGACATTCTCGCAACTCTGAGCTCTGAGATGCCGTGCGCAAGGTGGTCCGGCCTGTTTCGCACAAGACATTCTCGCAATTCAGAGCTCCCAGATGCCGCGCACGAGGTGGTCCAGCCTGGGGGCCCAGAAGACCACATGTTACATATCCTCCCTGGGACCCTGGGAGCCCCAGGAGGCTCCAGAGAGCTCCAGGAGGCCGCAGGACGCCCAGGACAGGCCCAGGGGTCCCCAGGAGATTCCCAGGAGGCTCCCAGGAGGCCCCAGGAGGCCCCCTATCAGAACGTGTCAAGTTAATACACATCCGGTGTCGATTCGTTGATTTTTCCTGCTCTTGTGCCCCCCCTCCATTTTGAGGAGCCCAAGCGGCCACAGGTTAGATATCCCCCCTGGGAGCCCCAAGAGGCTTCAGGAAACCCCAGGTGGAGTTCAGGAGGCCACAGGAGGCCCAGGAGGAAGCCCCAGGAGGTCCCCAGGAGGCCCCAGGAGGCACCAGGAGGCTCCCGCAACTCGGAGCTCTGAGACGCCGCGCTCGAGGTGGTCCAGCCCGTTTCGCCTGAGACTTCCTCGCAGCACGTTTCGCCCGAGACACCGGCCCGTCTCGCCTGAGACATCCTTGCAACTCTGAGCTCTGGGATGCCGTGCGCAAGTTGCCCCAGCCCGTTTCGCACAAGACATTCTCGCAATTCTGAGCTCCCAGATGCCGCGCAAGAGGTGGTCCAGCCTGGGGGCCTAGAACACCACATGATACATATCCCCCCTGGGACCCTGGGAGTCCCAGGAGGCCCCAGAGAGCTTCAGGAAGCTGCAGGACGCCCAGGACAGGCCCCAGGCGTCCCCAGCAGATTCCCAGGAGGCTCCCAGGAGGCCCCAGGAGGCCCCCTATCAGAACGTGTCAAGTTAATACAAATCCGGTGTCGATTCGTTGATTTTTCCTGCTCTTGTGGCCCCCCCTCCATTTTGACGGGCCCCAACTGCCACAGGTTAGCCCGTTTCGCCTGAGACTATTTCGCCCCCTGGGAGCCCCATGCCGTGCGCAAGAGGTTTCGCACAAGACATTCTCGGAAGATGCCCGCAAGAGGTGGTCCAGCCTGGGTCCCACATGGGGACCCTGGGAGCCCCAGGAGGCCCCAGAGAGCTTCAGCCGCAGGACGCCCAGGACAGGCCCAGGGGTCCGCAGGAGATTCCCAGGAGGCTCCCAGGAGGCCCCAGGAGGCCCCCTCAGAACGTGTCAAGTTAATACACATCCGGTGTCGATTCGTTGATTTTTCCTGCTCTTGTGCCCCCCCCCAGGAGGCCCACGCAACTCGGAGCTCTTCGGAGCGCTCGAGGTCGTCCGGCCCGTTTCGCCTGAGACTTCCTCGCAGCACGTTTCGCCCGAGACATCGTCGCAACTGGGGTCCGAAATGCCGCGCGCGAGGTGGTCCAGCCCGTTACGCTGGAGACATCCTCGCAACTCTGGGCTCCGAGATGCCCTGCGCGAGGTGGTCCGGCCCATCTCGCCTGAGACATCCTCGCAACTCTGAGCTCTGGGATGCCGTGCGCAAGGTGGTCCGGCCCGTTTCGCACAAGACATTCTCGCAACTCTGAGCTCTCAGATGCTGCGCAAGAGGTGGTCCAGCCTGGGGGCCCAGAAGACCACATGATACATATCCTCCCTGGGACCCTGGGAGCCCCACGAGGCCCCAGAGAGCTTCAGGAGGCCGCAGGACGCCCAGGACAGGCCCAGGGGTCCGCAGGAGATTCCCAGGAGGCTCCCAGGAGGCCCCAGGAGGCCCCCTAATTATCAGAACGTGTCAAGTTAATACACATCCGGTGTCGATTCGTTGATTTTTCCTGCTCTTGTGCCCCCCCCCCCCATTTTGGGGGGCCCCGACGGCCACATGTTGATATCCCCCCCTGGGAGCCCCAAGAGGCTTCAGGAAGCCCCAGGTGGGGTCCAGGAGGCCACAGGAGGCCCAGGAGGAAGCCCCAGGAGGTCACCAGGAGGTCCCAGGAGGCCCCAGGAGGCCCCCGCAACTCGGAGCTCTGAGACGCCGCGCTCGAGGTGGTCCGGCCCGTTTCGCCTGAGACTTCCTCGCAGCACGTTTCGCCCGAGACATCGTCGCAACTCTGGGGTCCGAAATGCCGCGCGCGAGGTGGTCCAGCCCGTTACGCTGGAGACATCCTCGCAACTCTGGGCTCCGAGATGCCGTTCGGGATGAAGAGGAGGAGGAGGAGGAGGAGGAGGAGAAGGAGGAGGAGGAAGAGGAGGCATGTTTTAACATGCCATGCCAGCCCGCACTGGACGGGCACGCAATCGACCTTGGAAACCGCAGTGAGTCTAAAATCCCTGTTTGGGGATACTGCACTCCGGTTATAATTCTTCGTATATTACAGAACTGTGGAATTGTGATCTGTTTGAGCTTAACCATCTCTTGTACTGTCTGTATAGTTATTTGTCATACACGTTTATGTTCGCACGTGTGCGCGCATCCGCTGCTGTTTTGACCCAGGCACCTTTCGACACCATGTCTCTCTTGAGAGAAAACATCCCTCGTTTTCGCCACTGGCCGTCCTTGACGCGTCAGTGGTAGCGGAGCGGTCGGTCTTCCCCGGCCGTCTCCAGTGACCGCCGCCATGCCGGCGGACGGGCAGCCTCCGGCTGCCAGCAGTGGCGATCGAGATAAGGATGATTTTCAGAGAGAACAAGGCCAGAGAGGCCGCGAGGCCCCAGGTGGCGCGCCCCAGAGCGCGACTGGCAGCAGCAGCAGTTTCACATCGGCGCAGGCGCTCGAGCTGAGGAGCATCCTGCGCGAGGAGATCAAGGCGGCTCTGGCCGTCTCGGGTACCGCGGGCCCCACGTCGGAAGGTGCGGCTCAACCGGCCCGCGACTCAGCATTTGGATCCGACCCGTGGGAGGAGCTCGGCAACGATCCCTGGCGAGAAGGATCCAGGCGAGGCGTCGGAGAGAATGAGGGAGCGCGATGGGCAGGCAGAGGCTGGTAGTCAGCCCCAGCCGACGCGCCGAAGGATTCTCAGGACGACGCGGACTTGGGCCAGAAGAAGTGGGGCGCCAGAGACTGGCGCGGCAGCAGCAGCAACAGTGCGTGGCGACAGTCCCCAGAGGACTGGTCATCTTCGTGGTGGGAGAAGCCTGACCTGAGCGACCCCGACGCATGGTTGGGATGGAGCGAGTACCGCTTGTGGCGCCGGGGCATACGACGCTGGCTGGCCGGGACAGGTGTCTCCGTCGGCCGTCGGGCAGACAAGATCCTGAAGGTGCTGGACCTCGACTTGCGCAAGAAGTTCGAGGATCTATCGGACGACATCCTCGTTTCCGAGGCCGGCCCGCAGGCGATCCTCGATCGCTTGGACGCGCTCAGTGGCCAGAGGCAGGACGACGAGATGAGAAGAGTGGGCCGCGAGTGCTTGTTCGGGTTTCAACGCCGGCAGGGAGAGACGCTGATCGTCTACGCGGCCAGGATGGACCAGGTGTTCGACCGCCTCTCTTCGCAGGGGCTCGAGTTGAACAGCAAGTGGCGACACCTGTTCATTGAGGAAGGAGTCGGTCTAGACGACTCACAGAAGCAGATGCTCAAGATTCTCAATAAGAATTCAGGAGAGTACCAGGATCTGCCCCACGCCATTCGAGAGATGGATATGCAGCGGAATGAGAGCCTGACCCAGAGCAAGAAGACGTTCGCAGAGTTCGAGCAGACGTCACAGCCCACGTTCTACGACGACGAGGATGTCTCGTCCATGGACTCAAGTCAGGAGCAGACCGTGCTGGTGACGCTGGACAAAGCGGACCTCTCGGAACTAGAAGTTCCCACCATTTTGGCAGAGCTCGCTTCCGAGAGGCGCAAGACGTGGAAGGAGAACAAGGACTTCAAGAGGCGGCTGAAGGTAGACCGGAAGTATTTCCCGACGTCGCCTCCTGCTCACCCAGGAGCCCGTCCTCAGCGGCCACATCGTGGACAAGACGGACAGTATCGACCTCGCAAGGCGAGGTTATCCCCTCAGCAGTTGATGAAGGTCACGAAGTGCCACAAGTGCCATCAGAAGGGCCACTGGGCCAAGGAGTGCCCGAACCCTCCAGCACCAGGTCCCCCGGGGGCGCCGCCGAAGCAGGGATTCTTTGTCTTGACGAACGGCGGGTCCTCCTCGTCTGGCCTGGTGCTGATGACGACGTTCTATCAGAACCCCTTGGAGGCACCGATCGAGAAGGCTCGGACATCGGTCGTCTCCACCTCCCCATTTTTTGAGCTGGCTACGCAGGTTTTTCTGACCACACCTGGGGGGGAGATCATTGTAGATACGGCGGCGGGCCAAGGGCTCATAGGCCCTGTGTCCCTCTCGAAGCTGGACGAGAGGCTCGCCGCGCTCGGTTTTCGGATCCCCCGGGTGCCCAGTGCCAACAAACATGCCCAGGGAGTGGGAGGCCGCACCAGTGTTTTGACCGGTCTCCTGGTCCCTACTGGGATAGAGGGCCGTCTCGGAGCGATGGAACTCGATGCGATCAGCGAAGAAGTTCCAGCTTTGATGCCAATTGGCATGCAGGAGGCCTTAGGAGCTGTCATAGACCTTCCAGAAGAGAAGGTCACCTTCAAGAATTTAGTCACAACGACGCCGTTGAAGGCACTTCCGTCGGGACATCGGACCATCCGGATTGACAAGTTAGGCTCTCCCGACGATTTTCACGTTCCAGATTCGGTGTCGAGCAGGTTCGGTGTCTCGAAGTCTGATTTTGTGCTGCAGCCTGTTTCGCAGTATAAGGCGTCGATGAGAGACGGCGGTGACAGTGCCGTTTTGGCGACGTCGAACGACCAGTCGGGGGAGCACGGCGAGGGTAGATCGAGGGTCCCGGGTCCAAGCCAAGGGTCCAGGGATCCAGTCCAAGATCGGTGCGAATCGTCCCTTCACGAGTTGGTCGAGATTTCAACCTATTCAGCACTTCCAGCAGATGCCGCACCATGTTCAGACACGGTTCTAGCCTTCCCAGCGTGGATATCAGCTCCAGCTCCGGCTTATCCAGCATCAGTACCGTACGATATAACAGGCCGTGGGGAGCAAAAGGGGTCAGAGAAGGAAGCTCTCGTTAGCAACGGTCCGGACGCAGCTCGAGAAAATACGCCAGAACGTTCCAACGCGTCAAACGTTCCTCAAAACCACTGCGCCTCCGCGGCGTCCCGGTCCGTTTCGTTTTGCTCAAGCCTCCAACCCATCACGGTTTGTGATTCCCTTCAGAGTTCCACTCAGAGCTTACTGGGAGATACCGCGCGTGGGCGGCATGACAGACCAACGCGATGTCCTGACCGGCCGAGATGTGCCGGAAGGAATGCAGATGAAGCGCCTCCGCTGGGTCCACGTGGTCGCGCAGAGCCTCAGGATAGAGGAGGCGCTCAGCCTGTCGCTTCTCGACATGAGCCGCACCGGGCGACTCTGGCCGGTGGCCTTCATTCGCAAGCAGCGCCAGTTCACGATCCAGATGCTACAGTGTCGTCACGATCCGCTGAGGCGCAGAGTCGGGGCCAACGCGAGCGCGACCTGGATCAAGTGCATCGACTGCGACCTGAGGCTGGCCTACTGGAATCGCCCAAAGATCGAGGTGCAGCCCCACCTCCTGGCGATCAAGGACGACCCGAACCAGAGCAGCGCGGCGATGCCGAACATCCGCCGCTACAAGGGCCAGGACGACAGGAAGGAGCTCCTGATCAAGCTGGTCAAGACCGACACCTCCAGGAGTCCGGCCGCGGTGAAGGTGCCGGTCCACTCGGAGGCCACGTCGAGGCCTTCTACGTACCGATGCAGGTGGACGAGCTGGCCCAGGCGGAGCGGAAGAGCCGACCGAGGACATCGGAGAGTACTCTTGCGAAGGATATGAAGGAGCTGAAGGACGCGATTCTGCAGCAGAACGAGTACATCCAGCAACACAGCCAGGCTCTGCAGTTCCTCACGCAGCCCCACCTGGCCCAGATCCAGCAGTGCCGGGAGGCAGCGGTCATGACGGCGATTCCGGGCACGCCGCGCCAGGCCGACAAGTGGGAGGTGATCGGTCAGCCAGTCTCCCAGTCGCCGGCGCCGGAGTTGCCGATCGCAGCGGAGAAGGAGTCCTAAGAGGACCCGGCGGCTGCTGGGCTGGCATCCTTGTCGCTGAGAAGGGCACGTGCTGCGGCATGAGCCGGTTCGTGAGTGAGGTTGGTTGCGAGTCTCTTTACCTTCAGCAGGCAGTTTCCCCGCTGAATGCGCCGGCGCCCGAGCTATTCTACTTCCCAAGGTGCAAGGAGGAGATATGGAAGAAGCATCGGGATATGGGACACTCATGGATTCTTCTTGGCAAACAGGACGACCGGTTGCAGGCGCTTCCCAGCTCGGGAGATCCCTTGAGCTCTTTTCCTGTCGAGGGCGAGTGCCATTTAGTTGTCCGTCACGACGGCTGGGCCTCCGCCATCCAGGATGCAGAGTTTAACTAACGATGACTACGAGACGACGATTTCGAGGCGACAACGCCGAGAAATTGAGAAAAACCTCATGACTCTCCTTGCGGCCGAGCCAGGAAAGAGCAGCGGAGGACAACAAGAGCCACCAGGACACCGAGCACCTCCAGATGCTGAAGTTCGGGGAATCTCCACCCGTGCATGTCCGCCCGATTCGAGCGCTCCTTCAACCTCTGCTGCCTCTGCCTCGTTACAGGACTCGCCTCCTCTCCTCCCTTCCCATCTCTCCCGTCGTGAGGTCGGTCGTCGGAGGAAGGAGGGAATGTCTCGAGGAGTGATGGAGGTCTTCTCTCCACCAGGGATATGCCCGGTGGCACGCCAGCTGGGCGTTGCCGATCAAGGAAGTCTGGACCTTTCCACGGGCTGGGATTTTCGGCGATTCAGGGACCGTCTTCTGGCCCGCGAGCTCGTCCGTTCGAGGAGACCCGGTGTCCTTTTCCTGGAACCGCCCTGTCGAGTTTTCAGCGTGGCCTTCGAGATTTCCAAAAATGTGATGGACCCCGCTGTGCGAGCTCGGGCGGTAGTCGAGGGCATGATATTGCTCCGTTTCGCGGTGGAGCTGGCCGCGCTCCAAGTGTCACTTGGAGGGGTCTTTGTTCTGGAACATCCCGAAGGGGCGTCTAGTTGGAAGTCGGCTCCCATGAAAAAGCTCTGGTCTCTTCCAGGGGTTCAGTCGGTTGTTTTTGACATGTGCCGCTTCGGACTGTGCGTTGACAGCAGCGGCGAGCTTTCCAAGAAGCCGACCCGCATCATCAGTAACGACTCGGAGGTTGTGGCTTCTCTTTCGAGTTTTCGGTGCAAGGGAGACCACCCTCATCACGTCCTTCGAGGTTCAGCTCAGACTTCCAAGGCGCAGGTCTACCTCCCCAACCTCGTGCGTCACCTGGCCACTGTTACCAGAGGGGTGCTGGACAGGAGGGCCAGGATGGCTCGGACCTCGGACGTGATCGGATGGATTCGCAAGGGGCTCCCGTGTCAGGTTGAATCCAGTTCCACCCTTGTTCCTGATGTGTTGTGGTCTTGCTTTCCTTCCGTGGTCGACCCAGAGGGGGCTTTGGACGAGGGTCCCGACGAGGACGAGGCGACCCCAGGTCTCGATTCATCCGTCGGGCTCGGACGTTCGGATTCTCCCCCCCTGGAAATCGATGCCAGGCTGCGCAACTTGATACAGAAGGTTCATGTTAATCTCGGACACCCCGCTCGCCCCTTGTTTCTGCAGATTCTCCGCGGCGCCCATGCGAGGCCAGAGGTTTTACAGTACGTGAAGAGAGAGTTTGCCTGTCCTGACTGCGAATCACACCCACGCCCCGCCCACCGGAGATATGTGGCGATGCCCCGCACGTACCAGTTTAACCGGGTCATTGCGGTGGACACTTTCCACATTAAGTTCGGTGAGACTCTGGTGGCCTTCCTCAATACGATCTGCCACGGTACGAATTACCAAGTGGTGGCCAGATATGAGGGAGGGGCTCGAGAAGCGTGGGAGTGTTTTGTGTCGTCGTGGGTGCGTTATTTTGGCCCCCCGGAGCTCTTGATCTCCGACGGGGGACCCGAGTTCCAGGGCGAGTTCTCTCGGGGAGCTGAGCAGCGCGGCACTTTTCAGCACATCACCAGTGCTGAGGCTCCGTGGGAGAACGGCCGATGTGAGAGACACGGCGGGTGGGTCAAGGACTTGGCTCTCAGAGGTTCCGAGGGGGCCCCGGTGTCCAACGAGCGCGAGCTCGAGCTGCTGGTTTACGAAATCACAGCGGCCAAGAATTCCTACCTCCATCGTGGAGGGTTCTCTCCGAACCAGTTAGTGTTCGGCAAGAACCCCAGGGTTCCCCAGGACCTTCTTTCCGACGATCCGGTCAATCAAGTAGGACTGGACGACATGGCCGAGGGGGTTTGGGATCAGGACACCGCGGCCGCGGATTTTGCCCGGGCCATGGCCATCAGGAAGCGTGCCCGGACCCTGTTGTTCGAGGGCAGCTGCCGGGAGAAGGTTCACTCGGCTGCTCGAGCTCCCAGGCATCGGGATCAAAATTGCGCTCCAGGCGACTGGGTGTATGTGTGGAGACGGGCCCCAGCTTTGCAGCAGAAGAAAACCTACGCCCTGCAGAGGGGCAGGTGGTGCGGCCCGGGCCTTGTCGTTTTCCAGTACGGGAATTCCGTTTGGGTCTCTATGAGATCCCGTCTTTGGAAATGTGCCACGGAGCAGCTTCGACATGCGTCCGGCCCAGAGGCCCGCGGAGCCGAAATGCCTCAGGACACGGCCCTCCAGGAGTTGGTTCGTCAGGTCCAGTCCGGGTCCCAGAGAGCCGGGGTCGACGAAGGTCCTCCACCGGACGAGGAGAGGCACGGTCCGGTTGTGAATGATCGAGAAGGGATTCAGCCTCCGCTCCCTCCGGCTCCTGCGGCTCCGGATCC